CTGTCACGAAAGCTTCTGGCTTTGAATGACATTTGTTAGTTGGAAAAAGTGCAACCTGACACATTTTTTACTACCATAGACTCACAGCTCTCCTCCTACCCTGTAAACAAGTAAACAAGAAGGATGGAATGCTGGTCTGGACCAGTGTTCATCAACCTCAGCAACTTTAAGATGTGTGGACTTCAACTCCCCCAAATCCCCCCCCCCCCAGACTGGGGGGGGGGGGGGGGGAGTTTTTGGGGAAATAAACTCAAATTTATAAAATGTTGGCCGAGGTTGAAAAACACTGGTTTGGACTATGGAAAAATCTGTGGATGAAAGAGTGCATATTCTGAAAGGAAATCTGGTTGGTCCCTTGCACAGAAGCACTTTGTGCTGCAACATTTTGTTGCAGATGCCAACTGTTTACAAGGGCCAGAACCTGTGTCATTTTGCCTCCTTTCAGAGAAGAATCTGGGGAGGATAAGGAGAGCAAGCTCTGTTGCCTTTTGAACCCACTTCAAGCTCTCCCAGGACGTAAGTTGAAAAATAAAAATAAGTTAGGACATCTTCGGTGTTTCCTGATCCTAGCCTGATTTGCCCAATGAGATGGTATCGCTATAAATATAAATGTGTATTGCATCACTTTGCAGAAGCTTCTCCCCCCACCTCCATAGAGAACTGAACCCCACGTGTGATCTGCAGAATTCACCAAAGGATTCTGAAGTGTTTTTTTCCCCTCGACTTTCTTTCCGTTGTATGTTTCCCCGCTTCACACTGACAGCAGGGCCTCCTTAATCTTCAGCATTGTTTCCAAACAACCATTTTTGAACTTGCTTTTCATGTCAGTCCACCTTGAAACAGTGACTGTCCACTCGGTGGAGTTAAAACTTGCTTTCCGTGGAGAAAACAGCCTGACAACTTCAGGTTTCGGGCCATTTCTTTATTGCATGCTATGTTAAACGGCTTCCTTTCCCACCACGGGTTCCTGCCCTGGTCCCCGCCTTCAGATAAACCTGAAGTTAACACTGGAAAGCATTTAAACAAACCCCGCTCAGATTCTTTGCTCTGCTTAGATGGCCTTGAAATCAGCTATGCCCACATAATGTCTCCCCCTTTTAGGCTAGGTAGGTAAACATACCTGAAGCCAACAGAAATTCATTTGTGGCTTTGAAACTTTGTGCTGATCTCTGTTTGTGATTTAGGGCAAAAAAAAATTTTTTTTAATCACCAATCCTTTTTCAATTCTAGAGTTGTTGTTGTTTTAATTGGGAAATTGAATCTCCGTTCCCAAACTGAGTGCATTCTAATTGAAGGCTGTGTGATTTTACACTTGGATTTTTCTTTTTCTAAATGTCTCTGGGAACTACAGGTGTTTGTGAGAGACGAGAACACACATCTCTCCAGCGGCTGTCCAAAAAACATTCTATTTTATAAACCAAAGGGCTCAACAACAGCAGACTGGGCTCAAATTATAATTATTCATTATCTATCTTGATTTGATTTATCTGCCGTCTTGCAGCAAACCAAATGCTCAAGGTTGCTTGAATTCTAAACAATTTTAAAAATAAGGACATGGAAACACAAAGAATTTCCTGCAGATGCTAACTCTTGGATAGGTTCCTTAGGCTAAGACAGTCCCTAAAGTAATCAGGCCCTGGGCTATTTGGGGCTTTAAAGGTTAACTCTAACCATTCTGACTGTGCCCAGAAAGAAATAGGATTAGCATTCTGCATTCTCTGTACCTTAACCTTAGCCCTAACTCTATTCCAACTGCAATTTCTGGAGAATTTTCCAGGGTAGCCCAAAATAGTCAATCAAACAGTGAATCACTAAAGGTGATCAGCTCAAGGAATGGTTGCAGTTGGTGATGATGCACTGAAATTCTGCAGTGCTCCTAGCCTTCGCTGCCTCCCCCCTCCCCAAAATCCCATCAGCAGCTGAAAATCAGGTATAGACTCGCTCTTTTAGAGGGAACAAGGTCCCCTCTGACGCAGCCTGAATCTCTACCCCAAATACAATGTCTTATTCGTCAACAGCATCTCTGTTTTATCGGGGTTAAATTTCAGCTGGTTCTCCCTTATCCCACCCGTGGTGAACATAGTATCCTTGAACATGGCTTCTTGGGAACTGGATGGAAAGGAGAGTTTTTTTTATTCATTTATGTATTTATATTTCAAATTTAGATACCGCCCATCTCACCAAAAAGTGACTCTTTTGGGTTGGGTGCATCCTGGTGCTCCAAATGGCCTTGTCTTCTTGCTCACCTTCTAATTCTTCCAACGAAATTGATCCAACGTGTTTCACAGGCATAAGATCTCCTGGCAGGGAGTTCACGCAACATGCTTATCTTTAAACCTAAGTTTACAAAACACAGCAGTAAACTGTATTACGGGTCAGCGTGAGGGCAGGATGTCCATAAGAGGCTAACGCAATGGCTCAACTACAAACAACTCAGCCTGACTTTAACCTAGCTTAACAGGTTGTGTGAATCCAACCATTGAGATGAAAACAATGCATTCCTCCAAGAAGTGCACCTGATTGCAATAAAAATGTGCAAATATTCACCCAGGACTGCAAGAACCACATGGGAGAGAAAAACCACCCTTACTTTTTGTGTACAGAAAGTAGACAGCTGCATGCATCTATTAGTGCTTTTAGACTGAAAGAGATATTCTACCCCAACCAGTACATCTTTGCTTGCTATCTTCCTTTAAAAAAAAAGAAAAAGACCTACCTTTAAATTATAAACATTTTTCTTTGGGTTTCTCAGTTAATATTGAGAAATATTGGGGGGAGATAAATTTAATAAATAAATAAATAATATCTGATGCTTTGTTAACTGATTCAGACTGTAAATATTTGTGTATGTAAAAGTAAAGCCTCTTTGAGGTGAACTCTCCTCCTGGTGAATTCATGGACACATCCATTAGATTTCTTGGCAACCTCTTTTTGTATTGTTATCATCTTCCAGGAAGTATCTGTATTATATATTATATAAATAACATATTTAACATATTCAACATATTATATATTGCACATTATACCTATTACATATTGTCTATGGTGCGTGGTACATTATATTCATCAGCTAAAGATTGCTGCCCGAATGGTAACATTTGATTTCCTAATCCTGCAGCAGCATTTACTTTCAGGGAAGTATTTTTCGAGTGGCTTCAGAGATGGACGTGAAGTCTGTACACAGCTTTCAAAAGTAGCCTGGCAGCAGTTCACATGTTGCGGTGAACCTGTTAGGCACGCCCATCACCTCTTCACCCCTGGCATGACCCTGCCATCTGTGGCCACATGGAAGGCTGAGCCTTTGATTTATCGCTGTTTTCTAGATAAGCAGCTGAAGTGAACAAAAATAATTGTCAATAATAATAACACCAGCAACTTAATAACAACCCAGTTGTTCTTTGGGGCACATTCAGAAAGGAGCAAAGAAATCCAAAATTAAATTGCACAGTCCAATCAAATTCAACCATTTTAAGCATACGTGTGCATATACCCATATACACACCTTGAATTTCAGTGGAACCCACTGAAACCAGCTGTTGCAGAGCAGACACGCACTGATTTCTTCTGTCTCATTCATTTCAATAGGAGGAAAGTTAAGCCTCACCACATACAATGGGACCAATTCTCATGTAAACTGACACAGGATTCTAGCCCAGATCCATCCTCTTCATGTTTACTCCGAAGTGACTCAAGGAACTATACAGGTCTTATTTCTAATTACACCCCCCCCCCGCCCCAATTCAGGTAGTAAAAACGTTTAACAATTTAAACAGGCTGTGACCTGAAATATTTATTACAAAGAAGAAGAAATCCAGAAGATTAAAATTAAAATGTGCAACACTGAGAAACATTTTTCTAAACTGAGAAATATCTTTCTATACGTGAACAAAAAGGTTATTTTAGGAAAAACAGGAACATGTTATGGACCTGGCTTCTGAATAATTTTAATTTTAGAGTTGTACCACAAATCCATTCTGTAGTTTTTAGAAGAAAAAAAAAAAAGATCAGCCTGGATAAGGAGAAAGGGCTGATAAATGAAATGGTCCAATAAATAAAAACTAGGACCTTCTCAGTCACGCTGTGTGTGATTCATTACAGTTCAAAGTTTCCGTCTGTAGAAAGGTGTATCTCTTACTGTACTGATCTTATCAAATTAAGTCTAATTCTAGATTATTTTTCCCCAGAAGGGCACCAGGAAATTGAAAGAGAGAATCTTACACAAATCAACAGAAAAAAGTCCGATCTCCGATTTTGTCGAGAAGAAACCGAGAAGAGGGAAAGAATCGGAGGGAGGGAGCGAAACGGCGGACAGTATGGATAAACACAGAAAGTGAAATTAACCAATTCTCTCCCTTAAATCATTTCCGAACTCTCCGCGTGCACGCCGACGACGGATTTAACCCCAACCCCGCTTTTTAAAGCAGGGTAATCACGGAATTTGACTCTTCTTGCATAGCTCCAATTAGTTTTCCGGCGAAAAAAAAAAGAATCAGAAATCTGTTTGCATGTTGCAAAGAGGAGGCAATTTAAACCGGCTTAATTCTTCTTACTGGTTTCTAGGTTCGCCACCCCTTCTCGTCCGGGACACACAGAGTTCGTCGTAAAGGCGAGACGCCCGAGCCCTTGGGAGAGCTTCCCCCCTCCCCAAGCCCGCTGCCTAAACAGGTTCAAAGTGCAGTGAAGAAGGAAGGAGGGGGACCCGGCGATCT